GTATACATCAACTTTTGAAGATATGTCAGCAATACGTGCACTTTGCACCCGCTATAAATTTAGCTGGGCACGCGGACATCATCACCATCATCATCATCGTCGTCGTCGCCGTCGTCATCGTCATCATCGTCCGCATCGTCACCATCATCATCATCATCATCCCTCCCTCCTCCTCCTCCTCCTCCTCCTCCTCCTGCTCGACGCCACCTCCTCGAAGAAGATCCCTGCTCCTCCTCATCCTCCCTTTCCCCCCCGCTTCAATCTCCCGCTCCTTCTCTTCCTCCACCTTCTCCTCCCTCCCCTCTTGTCCTCCTCATCCTCCGCTACGCTTCCCTCGTCCGTCCTGAGCATCCATTCCCGAGCCCGAGCCACTTTGGGGCTCTCGTGGGCCGTCTCGGATCCTCAGGGGTCGCGTTGCCGCCACCCCCGGCCACCCCCTCCCAGGAGCCCGCGGGGGAGGGGGTTTCCGTCCCAGCCGGTTCTGCTGACGGCCCCAAGGCCCTGTAAGGAGCCTTCGGAATCCGAAAGCGGCTGAAAACCTCCCGTCATGATTTTCGTTCGCGGCGCGGCGAGGTGCTCTTCCTTCCAAGTCGTTTTTGGGTCACGGCCCTGGGGCCCTCTGAGGGCCCCCGGAGGCCGAAAACGGCCGAACCTCTTGTTCGCGGTGCGACGAGGCCTCGTCGCCCCGCTGGCCCGCTCGACGCGACGACGACGACGAGAACGGCGGCGGCGACGACGACGACGACGACGACCACGACGACGACGACGATGACGACGACGACGACGACGACGACGACGCCCGTGCGTCGTGCCACCCCCGGAGGGCGACACGACGCTCGGGCGCTCGGCCCGCATGGAGGGTTGCCGCGGGGGCAACGCGGTGCCAGGGCGCCGCGAACCAACGGGCGGGGAAGACAGGCACGGCGGCGGGCATCGAGGTTCGAGGAAGTTTTCGGCCCTGGGACCGTCGCACAATCGATCCGGGACCAACGAACTGCGTCGGATGCACCCCAGGAGGGTTCTGGGCACCGATTTTGCGCGGATTTCGTTGACTTTGAAAAGGGGATGCACGCCGAGGTTCGAAGTTCGACTCTCGCGGATCGAGGTTCGAGGCTTCCTGGCCCTGGGGCCCCCCTCGTCGCCGCGGTCGGGCGCAGCTCGAAAAACTTTTGCGCTTGGACCCCGAAAGGGTCCGGGGACCCATTTTGAGGCTGGGGCCCGCAGGCCCTGGAGGCGGCGGGAAAGGCGGCGGCGGCGACGGCGGCGGCGGGCGGGGGACGGGGGCGGCGGCGACGACGCGCGAAGGGCGACGCCAGAACGGCGACAAGCGGCGGTGGCAGGCGGCGACGACGGTGCGGCGGCGGCGACGGCGCGCGTGGCGGCGACGCACAACAAAGCGAGGGCAACTGATGGCGGGCGGCGCGCGACGACGACGGGCGGCGCGGTCGCCCCAACGCGGCACGACTTGCGACCGAAGCACGAACAGCGACAGAACGGCCGTGGCGACGGTGCGGCGCGGGCCGGCGACGGCGAACGAGCGACGTGCATGGCGGCGGCGAACGGCCTACGACGGGGAGACCGCCGTGCCGCCGAAAATTGCCGGTACGACGCCGACGCCGACGCCGACGCCGACGCCGACGCAGACGCCGACGAGGATGACGCCGACGCCGACGCCGACGCCGACGCCGACGCCGACGCAGACGCCGACGCCGACGCCGACGCCGACGCCGACGCCGACGCCGACGCCGACGCCGACGCCGACGCCGACGCAGACGACGACGACGACGACGACGACGACGACGACGGCGACGACGGCGACGACGGCGACGGCGACGGCGACGGCGACGGCGACGGCGACGGCGACGGCGACGACGACGACGACGACGACGACGACGACGACGACGACGACGACGACGACGACGACTGGGGATTCCCAGCTCCCATATGCACCTATTGGGGATTCGGAGCTCTCGACGCACGCACAGCCGAGGCTACGGGCCCGACGTGGCCAGGCCTGCAAAAGATTGCAAACGGACACCAGTGTCAGCGATCATCGGTTCAGGGGATTGATCCTCGACTTCGGCTTGTGAAGGCCGGCTTCGGACTCCGGGGCCCCCAGAAGTCGATCCCGGACGGGAAACTGATCCGAATGCACCCTGGCAGGGGTCTGGGGACCGATTTTGAACCGATTTGGGACCGATTGTCGTCGTCGTCGTCGTCGTCGTCGTCGTCGTCGCCGTCGTCGTCGTCGCCGACCAGGAGGGGATTGCGAACCCCCCAATTCGCGGTGGCCCCGCTGACGGGCGCTGGCGCCCAAAGCCAGTGGACCTCGAAACAGCATCTCACCATGCTCTCCCACCAGTGGACTTCCTCCCCTTCCATGCTCTTCCTGATCATCCTCCCCTCTTCCCCCGATGACGACGATGATGACGATGAGGAGGGTGGTGGTACTGATGATGACGGGCTCATCATGATCATCACCATCATCATCATCACCATCATCATCATCTTCTTCACCACCAACACCAACACCACCATCACCCTCCACACCATCGTCACAATCATCATCATCATCATCATCATCGCCCTCGTCCAATGCCATCACCATCGTCATGATCATCACCAGCATCATCAGGATCCATCACCGCAGGGGGCTGATTTCCAAAGCCCCGTTGGCAGGAACAGAAGCCCCGTTGGCAGGAACAGACGTTTCAGGCGGGAGACACAAGGCGGGCACGAGGGTGCTGCTTCCGCCTCTCCGAGCTCACGCTGCGGTTGTGCAGGCGTGGTCGGGTGCCCAACAAAACAACACAAGCATCAGGGAACGACCGCGACGAGGGGGCGGGAATGAGGGCGAACTCCAGGCGACAGCCCCAGGGACGAGCAAGCGGTAGAGCAGGCAGAGGAGCGACGCAACACGGCGGAAGGAAGGACGGCGACACCACCCAGAAGGCGGGCGAGCGGGAGAGCAGCGCCGGCATTCAGAGGCTTCTCGCATTGATCCCCTCACGCGCAGGATGAGAATCGTACATCAAGACACCTCTGCCGGGCAACTTGCTGGAAACGAGGGGAGGATGGGGAGGCGAGGAGAGGCATGAATTGGGGACCATAGGGCTCCTCCTAGTGCGTGGCCCACGCTGGACCGGCCGCTGACGCCCACGAGTCGGGCCGGGCGAAAGGGGGGGATAGCAAAGGGGGGGGTTGAGAATCAGCTCACGTAGCTGATGTTCCGGGCGCCTCCTGGCGCCGGAGGCGCCGATGCATCGAGGCATGGGCCCCTGGGTGGGGCCGAAACCGGCTGCATGCAGCAAATCTTGTAGCCCCCCTCTTCCCAATCCCCCCCTCTCGTCCGGCCCGAACGAGTAAAACAGGGCTAGGATCGGGATAAATCGCTCCAGAGCGTTCGGGAGCGCTCTCAGAGCGTTCTGGAACGCTCTGGAGCGGCCGCGGCGCCCAATACATCCTCCAAACCCGCCGACTCTCAGAGACTTCGAGTGATCCCGATCCGATTTTGTCCCGCTCTTCGAGTCGTTTTATCCGCCCTCCCTGGCGCGCCGTGCGCCCGGCGCTCCCTCCCGCCACGAGGCCGGCGAGAGGAGGAGGAGGAGAAGGAGGAGGAGGAGGAGGCCGGCGAGGCGGCGAGAGGCCCCTCCCGCCGCACCGTGCCAGGCTCTCGGCCCGCCCGGGCGCGCCACCGCGGCCACTGCCGCACGGTTGCCGCGGGGGGGTCCGCGCCCGTCGACGTGCCGCCCTGGGCCTCGAGCACCGCCTCCTCCTCCTCCCTCCTCCTCCTCCTCCTCCTCCTCCTCCTCCTACCTCATCCTGCCCCTCCTCCTTCCCGTCGGGGGCTCCGAGCACACCGCCTCCTCCTCCTCCTCCTCCTCCTCCTCCTCCTGCCAATCATCAACATCATCATCATCATCATCATCATCAATCATCATCATCATCATCATCATCATCAGTCATCATCATCATCATCATCACAATCATCATCATTATCATCATCCCATCAGTATCATCATCATCATCATCATCATCAATCACATCATCATCATCATCGTCATTTATCATCATCATCATCATCATCGTCAATCGTCATCGTCCATCATCATATCACCATCACCATCACCATCACCATCCCCAATCACCATCACCATCACCATCATCATCATCATCATCATCATCATCATCATCATCATCATCATCATCATCATCATCATCATCATCCAGACATCCTCATGCAAACGGTGCGGATGTCCGAGCGGCCTTGGCACCTCCCAGCGCGCCTGATTATCCTCCTCCCCTCGTCCTGTCCTCGGGGGAGGAGGCGGCTGGCAATCCCTCCTCACTCTGTTGAGTCACTACAACATGTCACAGCTTCAAGGCCGCTGGCAGCTCCCGACTCTCCTGTCGGCGCCTCGAGGAGGATCCCCTGCGGACGCAGACAACGTCCTCTAGCACCAGCAGGACTCGTGTAGAAGGAGCCACGTCGTTGCCCCCATCCTCGGCGACATCCAATCTCAAGACTGCGTTCGCAGATATTTCGCGGACTGCTGAGCCCATGTGAGGCAGTTTGAGATGGATTTTGAATGTCCCCATACTAGGATTTTGATCCTGCGCACCGTCGCCACACTCAAGATCATCCATAAGATTGCTGTAGGCCACCGTGGCCCATTTCATAAACGCCCTCTTATTGACGACCCACTGCAACAGCCCTGCGCCTTCGCATACAGGTCCACTCAGCTTCAAGAACTCGGCGGAGCAATGCAAAATAGGCAAACCGTCGATGTCTGGGTTGATGTGGACAGTCATTCCCGCACACTGGGTACCGATCAGTACACCAGAAAAGAAACTCCCTGATAAACTGATCGAATCCTCCGAGATTCCTGCACAGGCGTCGGAACGCGAGACCACTGGCCTACCGCGAAGCTCGCTGTCAGGCGGCGCCCGAAGAAAATCAGTTTTTTCCTTCACACCCACTATGTGGATCGGCTCGTCGTCTATGTCAATGCCCTGGGCATGGAATCCGCCGGCCCCCTTGCGGGGCCACCAGGCTGTAGGCGCGAGGTTCGCAGTTTCCTGTACCAGTTGTAGCTTGTAGTTTCCAGTGTTACAGTTCTGCTTCTTGCTGGTTACTGTAACTAGTTGATTGACCGCGCGAGGGGGGGGGGAGGCCCAAACCGACATCTTAGCACCTCCTGGGCACGTTGTCTGAATTGCTGGGGAGGCTCGAAATCGACACCCCTCACGCAGATCCGCGGGGTCAGGGTCCAAAAACACAGGGGATTTGCCACATTTCTGAAATTCGGTGCCACCCCTCACGCAGATCCGCGGGGTCAGGGTCCAAAAACACATGGGGATTTGCCACATTTCTGGGATTTGCCACATTTCTGAAATTCGGTGCCACCCCTCATGCAGATCCGCGGGGTCAGGGTCCAAAAACACAAGGGATTTGCTACAATTCTGAAATTCGGTGCCACCCCTCACGCAGATCCGCGGGGTCAGGGTCCAAAAAACACATGGGATTTGCCACATTTCTGAAATTCGGTGCCACCCCTCACGCAGATCCGCGGGGTCAGGGTCCAAAAACACATGGGATTTGCCACATTTCTGAAATTCGGTGCCACCCCTCACGCAGATCCGCGGGGTCAGGGTCCAAAAACATAGGGGATTTGCTACATTTCTGAAATTCGGTGCCACCCCTCACGCAGATCCGCGGGGTCAGGGTCCAAAAACACAAGGGATTTGCCACATTTCTGAAATTCGGTGCCACCCCTCACGCAGATCCGCGGGGTCAGGGTCCAAAAACATAAGGGATTTGCCACATTTCTGAAATTCGGTGCCACCCCTCACGCAGATCCGCGGGGTCAGGATCCAAAAACACAAGGGATTTGCCACATTTCTGAAATTCGGTGCCACCCTTCACGCACATCCATCGCAAGGCGTGGTAACCCAAACTGCGAGAACTCCCTCGGCCCTTTAATCGCAAGGCGTGGTAACCAAGCCCTTAAACCATACACGTCTTACCAATCGCCAGGTGTGGTAACCCCTCTTGTGATCAGTTGGTTTTGCTGATTGCGACTCGGCTTCGCATGAAGTTTCGATACTGCTTCACGACAGCGCCAAGGCCTCATGACTTAGCTCTTCCATGGCCCATTCTCCGAGAGAGGGGGCCGGCGGCAGGGGGCGAAGCCCTTACGGATAACTGAAAGTTTACCGGCATACCCCATGAATCTTTGAAAGACACGTGAACGGTGCTAGCATCATACATTGGCCGATTCAAGAATGTATCCAGACGGTCCTTCTCGGAAGCGTCGAAGGCTAAATCAACAAATGAGACACCGACACCCACAGTTGTGGGGAATCTGAAAAGCAGTGTGGCAAGGTGTGCGGCTGGCTTTGAGAACAGAAGATCTTGCGACAAATGCACCACCGCGTCGCACACACTTGACAAGAGCCCGCCCGCTATGGACTCAACATTTCGCGACGTTTTCGCCTCCAACATTGCCAAAAACTCAGCGTCGCGGGACTTTCTGACGGATGCTGTTACGGCGAACATGAGGAGCGAAACGATCAACTCCTGACGCGTGTCGGCGGGCTCGTACACCGGCGAAACAGCTGCGACGTACACAAGACCCAAAACGAGAGTCAGCCTAGATCTGCAATGAACAATGCTCACTGCGATGCGTTCGCAGATTCTCACTGGGCTGGCTTTCAAGAAAGCGATCTTGTCTTCGGCAGTGACCGCAAGGTACCAGACGACCGTATACAGGAGCACGTGGAACAAGAACACGACAGTAGGGGTGACCAAATGGGGCTTGAGAGTACCTGCCATAAGGAACATAGTCAGAGCCATGTTGCCGAGGCGCGCCGCTGAGGACATATCATTCTGGACCAGTTGAACCATGTTATAGCAGAAGGCAAAACAGAGTATCCTAGGGCACCCCCAGACCACTTGCTCAGAGAGTCGTTTGTCCGCCATATCCTTCAGCTGACGATGTAACGGATGCGGTGGTGACATGAAGAGCAGCCACTTCGCCGTGGCATTGAAATGAACATAAACTGAGCTCAATCGCGGGAAGACGCCCCACAGCCCAGAGCCGCGAAACCGCCAGATAATGATCGCGAGTGTCAGGCAATTGACGGAGACAAGTACGATAAGCCAGGCGCGATCGTCCAACATGATCGGGCCCAAACGATCACTGCCCTGGGCTAAAAGCTAAGTCCGTTTCGCTGGAATGCGCCTGGAGTGGGGCCTCTCGCTTGAGCGAAGACGGCTAGGACCTGTCCTGCGTCCTTCTTGTTCCACGCTAGGCCGTCGAGCTATCAAGCACGGGCTGCCCGTGCAGGCAAACGATCTGTGCCATGCCCTTTGCTGAGAGAGAACCTTATCGCACTAAAACAATATGATCTCCGTCCGTGTATCTGCTGGGAGTCCTACCACCACTCGGGGTGTAACAGAGGGCTACTCTTCTCCTCCACCCTCCCCAAGAGATCTGGATCGAGCCGTTCGCCGGGAGCTGGACACAACAAAGGCTTCAACGTGTCTGTGAGGTGGCACCCAAACCTCCCGATGATGTTCCCGATTTAACGAAATCACAGCGCAGCACGCCAGACTTACGTCTAAGAGGGGCCCATGCGTGTCCAAAGAAGATCCGGAGGCTCCCACAGGGAGTACCAAGTCCCCCCATGTGTTGGCCGATCGCTGCCAGCATGGCCCAGGACGGCCCGACAGGCTCCCACACTTGCTCCACGAGAACCACGAGAGCGCCCCAAATGGCCCCCTAAAGAGATTCAACATGGCTCCACATGTCCTCTTCGCAGCCCCCCAGAAGGCGCCATGTTGTTTTCTAGGGGGCGCTCTGGGGCTGATCATGGTTGGGGCTTTCGCATGCTCCTCACATCCCTTCTTAAAGCAAGCCGCGTGATGATATGTTATGTCTACGCTGTCGGGAACACTTTTTTTGCGTCGGCGGCTAGGCAGAAGGTGACTGCGCTGGCGATGGGGGCTTAAACGGGGATGCCTGAAGCTCGAATGTTTGTCGGCCATGTGATCGTACATCGGGAAGGGATACTGCGCGAAAACGATAGATTGTAATATAATCGCTCTCCATCCAGGAAATGGCTTCAGATTTCACGCTCTCAGGTCGTACGCACGTGCCACGGGCGTGGTCTGGAAATGCTCTTCCCTGCTGTCTTGGCGAACGAAGGACGGGATGTCACAAACTTCTCCGCCGTGTGGAACGCCTGTCGTAGGGGGATCGGCAACAGGCTGTGTCACTACGTGCCCCCTCGGTTGTGTAAACTTTCCAGCCGCCCTGGGACAGTCGCCCCCTGGCGGAGAGGCTTATGGTACACCGTCTTTCGTGCGCTGACTCCTCGTGGCCGCCTCGGGTGGGCTCCTCCTCCTCGTGCTCCTCGTCCTCGTCCTCCTCCTCCTCCTCCTCATCCTCTTGCCTCTTATGCCTCCCCTTCCTCATCTTCCTTGTACCCACCATCGTCCTTATCTTCTCCTCATCCGCCTCATCTGCAGCCTCCTCCCCCTGACCATCCACATTATCGTCGCCATCCTCCTCCTCCTCACCATCCTCCTGAGCGGACGGCGTGTGCGTCACGAGTCTGTGGAACTCTAAGCACGGCATGGGCCTCGACCGGAACCTGCCAGCGCGACAGCACTACAGCGCTCCCCCATACCAATCCTCGGCCTCCTGCCGCTGCTGCTCTTTTTCGTCCCTCATTCTCCAATCGATCCACCCTGCCGCACAGCTGCTCAACCTGAATACTGCTCTAGAGGCCCCCAAGACGGTCCTCGAGGGCCCCGAATCGCCGAACTATTGGTCCAAGACGCTGCAGTAGCTTCCAGGCGGCTAGAGGGATGCTCAAAACGCCCCAGAGGCCTCCAAGAGCACTCCCAATAGAGACCACAAAGGCAAATATCATCGATGTTCCTGAAAGTTTTGAACAAGTTCGGCATTCTCGTCGTGTCGGCTTCCCGATGCTCCAAAGCAACCCAGGAGGCCCCGAAGATTGCCCAAGAGGCCTCCAAGAGGGCCCCAAAACGACCCAAGAGGGCCGCAAGACCGCCCAAGAGGCCTCCAAGACAGCCCACGAGGCCCCCAAGACAGCTCCAAGAGGGAGCCCAGACGGGGGACCCAAACGGACATTTCGAACCCTCGGCCTGAGAGGCTCCCAGGAGGCCCCCAGAAGCCCCCAAGAAGCCCCCCAAGAGGCCCCAAGAAGCCCCCAAGAGACCCTCAGGAAGCCCCAAGAGGCCTCCACGAGGCTCCAAAGAGGCCCCCAAGAGCCTCCCGAGAGACCCCAAAACTACCCCCAAGAGGCCCCCGAGAGCGCTTGTCGTCGTTACCGTCGTCGTCGCCGTCGCCGCCGCAGCCGTCGTCGTCGTCGTCGTCGTCGCCGTCGTCGTCGTCGTCGTCGTCGTCGCCGTCGTCGTCGTCTTCGTCGTCGTCGTCGTCGCCGTTCAGGATCAACGGCACCGGCCGTAAGGCCTCTCCGACACTGACAGTGTCGTGTCGGTCTGAACGAATTATGTGCCCCTGCTGCAGCGGTGGTCAAAATCAGTATCGGTGCTGTGCTCCCGACGGTCAGCATGGCGACATCACCCAAACGAGGGGCACACTTCTGCATCCGATTCGTTCCTCGACGTTGCCGCCCCGCTCCTCTCCCCTCTTCCGCCCTCCCCCGATCCGCGTTCTCCTGATACTGCTCCCCCTCTCGCGCTGGAACCCCCTTTCCCCCTGGTGTGACATCTTCGTCATCATCCTCCGCCGCCTGCTGCCCATCCGACTTCTCCCCTCGTACGCACCAAAGCCCCCTTCCCGAGTGCGCAAAAAATGGTGGGGCCAATCCGGCCACTGCAATTTGGGCATCAAAATTCTCTAGGACACTCCACCCGACAGATGGAAAAGGAATCAACGCAGTGGACGGGGACGGGTGATAGAGCAAGGATGTCAGATGCTGCGTGAGCGCGCCTAGCTTGCCCTTCCCTCATCGCCCCTCTCCCTCCTAAATCCCTTGTTTCCTTCATGCCCTCTCCGTCCTAAAGCCCATATTTCCTTCATGCCCTTATTTCCTTATTGCCCTCCTAAAGCCCTTCATGCCCTCGTCTCTCACCTCTTCTCCACGAACCTTCCCGTGGCGCCGAGCACAATCGCCCCAAAAAACTTCAGGCGGCTACAAGGATGGAGGGCGGCTCCTCTTCAAGATGTGGCTCGCACCTGACATGTCTCTCAGATGTTGGGACTAGAAGTCGAATCAGAAGTACTCCAGATTTCGTAATAAAAGGAAGGGGGTCCAAGACAAGCCATTTCAGACCCCCCCTGTGGGAGAACCCTCCAAAACATCGTCCCCAGACCCCCCCAGGCCCTCCAAGATAGCCTGGAAGAGACCCCCCCCGAAATGAGACCCCCTCCCTGTTATTACGAAATCTGGAGTAAACAGATGAAGGGCGCTTCGCTCTCGCACTCCAAACAGACCGAAGAGTAGAGTCAGGTCGGGCATGTCCCCCGTACAGGGGGATCCTGGACGAAAGATAAAAAAGATTCAAAACATGCTCAAAAGATGCCCAACAATACTCAAAAACATAGTCCCAAAACTATGCTTATACTATTTTGTTACATTCCCCCTGTAGAGGGACAGGCCCGACTTGAGAATAGACGCCAATTCCTTGTCAAATCGGCGCTTCCGCCTGGATTCCGGGCCCATGAGGCCATGTCGTTCGGGAGGTGTTTTGCGCAGCGAACAAAAACGATCATAAGGACGTATGAGAAAGGGGCTTGGGACGGGACAGTGGATTGCTGCATCGTTTACGCATGTTGGGCTGACTCCCGTCCTTCGTTCCTCATCCCTGCTGCCTCCGAGCTCCCCATCCTTTATCATACATCATCCTCCTCCTCCGTGGCCTGTGTGGGATCTGCTTTTCGTGACGCTTCAGCAGCTTCCTGAAGCCTGCAACGTTGATCTCCAGGTACTGGGTGTGCCTGGCTCATATCGTCCTCCGCGTCATCATCAAAATCCAATAGTCGTCGTCAATCCGCCACCGTTGTGCCCCCTGGCACTCTAAGGCGTGGTATAACGCCGACGGCTTTCCCGAAGGATTTCTGTATTCTGCGGAACCAACCCAACCAGCCTCCCACCCCCACACACACACCCCTCCCACCCCCGCCCACCCCCCACCCACCCATGCTCCTGGCAACGTCCAGGCACATACATCGTCCCACACACACACACACACGAACGCACGCACGCACGAACGCACGCACGCAAGCAATCACGGACACTCACACACACACACGCACACACACACACACACACTCATATTCACACACACACACACGCGCTCTCGGTGCAACGATGATTCGCAACAAACAAGAAATTCATATATAAAAGATAAAAGACAAAAGTTCGCGCTCTCGAGCTTTTTGGGGTTGCCAAGGTGGGCAATCGAGAGCGCCGAGGACCCACGATGCCTCCACAACGGCCCACGATAACCCCGGGGCGGAACAGTGTGGCCTCAAGACGGCCCAGGATGCCGCCAAGAGGGCCCATGATGGTCACTGGAAGACTCCCCGCAGGGCCCGAAAATGCTGATTGACCTTCTGTATGTGAGTATGTTCTCCTTCTCTCCGTGCCTTGCATCCGCCAGCACAAACCGCACAAGAAGACCCAAAGATGACACCAAGACCCGAGAGGCCTCCGAGATGGCCCCAAGATGACCGAGAGGGCATCTGGAGAGATCCGAGGCGGCCTTCGAAGGCCCGTTGACGGCCCACCACGGTGCCGAGATGGCCCCACGAGCGCCCCAAGACACCCCGAATACGGCCGAGAGAGCCACAAGACTGCCCAATCGCGCCAAGGACCGCCTACGAGGGCCCCAAGACAGACGAAATGAACTCCTGAGACGGCCCGCCCCACAGGAACCCAAGACAGCACCCAGATGGACCAGAATGAGCTCCACAAGAGCTTCTCGAAAAGAGAAGACGAACGGTGCCACATGTGGCGGTATTATAGTTCCCTTCCTCCGTCTGCGACTATTCGTCATCCTCCTCATTCTCCTCATCCTCCTCATCGTCCTCATCGTCAGCATCACCATCATCACCATCATTAGCAGCATCGTCAGAATCAACCGTATCATCATCAGCAGCAGTATCCTAACCATAATCATCATCATGGTCATCATCACCATCACCATCATCAGCATCAGCATCATCATCATCATCAGCAGCATCATCATCATCGTCATCATCATTGTCATCAGCATCATCAGCAGCAGCATCATCATCAGCATCATCATCGACATCAACATCGTCAGCAGCATGATCACCACCATCAAACCAATCGTCATCAGTACCAGTATTATCATCAGCAGCATCAGCAACAGCCTGATTATCATCGCTTTCATAAGAAGCAGCAACAGCAGCACATCATCAGCATCATCATCATCAGCATCAGCATCACGATCATCGTCAGCATCAGCAACAGCCTCCGCATCATCCTCATGATCTTCCTCATCATCATCAGTATCATCAGCATCGCCATCAGCATCAGCATCATCATCATCATCATCATCATCGTCGTCATCGTCACCATCATCATCATCGTAGTCATCGTCATTGTCTCCTTCACCCACATCGTCATCATTATCATCAGAATCACCGCCATCATCATCATCACCAGCATCATCACAATCACCATCATCATCACACTCATCATCATCATCATCACCATCGTCAGCATCATCGTCATCGTCGTTATCACCAGATTCATCAGCACCATCAGAACCATCACCGGCATCATCATCATCATCATCACTAGCGACACAATCATCGTCGTCCTCATCACGATCAACAACATCAGCATCATCATCAGCATCACCGGTACGATCAGCATCATCATCATCATCACCATCACCGAGGACATCACAACCATAATCATCATGACCATAAAACATAAGCATAATCATAATCATCGCCATCGTTGTCGTCGTGGTAATCATCAGCAGCAGCAACATAATCATCAGCAACAGCAGCAGCTCACCATCCTCATCATCAGCATCATCACCTCATCATCGTCACCATTGCCACAACCATCATCAGCATCATCGTCATCGTCATCGCCACCATCACAATGATAATAACAATCATCATCATCATCATCATCATCATCATCATCATCATCATCATCATCATCATCATCATCTGTAACACCAACATCATCATCATCCGTAGCAGCAGCAGATTTACCACCATCATCGCCATCAACATCACCATCATCATCGACGTCATCATCCTCATCACCATCATCATCGTCGTCATCAATCGCCGTAACCGTCACCATCAGCAGCAGCAGCCTCACCACCAGTGTCAAATTCATTATCATCAACGCCGTCGTAATCATCAGCAGCATCATCTGATTCGTTACAGTTATCACAACCGGCAGCATCATCATCAGCAGCATCACCCTCATCATCAGAATCAGCCTCATCATGGCCGTCGTCAAACTCCTCATCCTCATCAGAAGCAAACAAATCCCCGTCATCCGACCCATCATACTCACACTCCGCAACACCATCAGCACCAGCATCAGCGTCGTGAGTCCCATTATCACCGTCAACGTCATCGCCGTCATACTCAACATTCACCATCGTCATCAACATCACCGTCATCATCATAATACTCATACTCATCATCCTGATCACCATAGTCATCATAATTGTCAGCATTACCCGTTTTATAGAAGGGTTTTCCCAAGCTTGGGGACAGGAGGTGCCACACGTGACGGCGTCACGCGCAAATTCTTAACATTCACGCAAACATACGAACGTGCGGATTTGCGGCCTGCTTCAAGACGCCGCAGGGACGATGCGAAGGGGCGCCGGGGCGCTTCAGAGGGATGACAAAGTTAAACATAAAATGGGGGAGCGAATGACAGAAGGAGGTCGGGGGACAGAGATAGCAAGTGAACAAAATGATTATAATATGCATGTGGAACATATCACTGCATTACGACATGCACCCTCGAACAATCGCGACCTAGAATGCTGGACTGGCACGGTGGCGAAATTTGCCGCAGGCAGCTGGATATCGCTACCCGCGCCATCACAGTCGTCGTCAGCCTTATCATCGTCATCATGTGCGTGTTTTATTCACTACCTCCCCCTCGTCCTCATCCTCCTTCCCCCCTCTTTTCCACATGACCCTCTTGAGTTTGATCGTCCTTGTCCTCCGCGCCCTCAGCTTCATCATCGCCATCATCCTCACTCTCCGTTTAATCACCATCACTCGCCATCGTATGCGTTGGCGAGAGGCGCGGTGCGACTCCAAACGCAGACTGGCAATGTTCCCGCAAGCTCCCTTCGGGCCCGACCCTCAACTGTGACCAGCGTGCAACGCGGTTTCATCAAAAAACTAATTCCTTCGCAGGGTCGCGCAGGCGCTGCCAACAAACCGTTTCTCATTGCATGGGGAAAGCTTCGCCTAAAAGGCCGCGACCCAAATCCACCGCACATCGGCAACGGCGCGTTGCCGACGACCCAGAAAACGAAGCCCGACGCTGCTTCCTGGCACTCCCCCTCGTTCCTTCCCCACCCGGGCTCGCCCCCCGCTTCTGCCGCCCCCATGCGCCCTCCCCCCCCTCCATCCCCGCCAGGAAGCCCTCCTCATCCTGCTTCATAATCGGGCTCCCCGCTTCGCCCTCCACCCTCTGGGCAAGGTACGGCACGGCGGCGAATCGACGTCGGCAGCGCGCTGGACCGAAGCCAGGGGCTCGTTGCCAGCGGGCGCCGCCGCCGATTTTGGCCAACACCGAGAGGCGGACATCGAAAAGGCCCTCTCCACAATCCTCCATCCCCCTTCCCCCTGGCCAAACCGAAAACAGCAATGCACGGCGACGCTCGCGCGGCGCCTGGGGGCGGCGGGAATCCAAAAACTCCGCGGATGGCGCGGAACTGCATCGCGATCGCACAGCAGGAAGCCCCCCGCCAGACCATCCGCCCAGGCCAGCGGCGGGCGGCTGGACCGCGCGCGAGAGCGCGGGGCAGAACTGCGCGGACGGAACGCGCGGGCCGAGCCGCCGCGCCGCCGAGGACATTCCCGGACAGAGGGCAAAACGATGCGAGACGCGCGCGCGACGCACGCGGCTGGCGGGCGCCCACGGGCCCGGGGCCGGCGGGACTCGCGAGGCGAGGGCGGGGGGGGGGGCCGCCCCCCCACCCGCCTGGGCCAGCGGCGGGCGCATGGCGACTGCGAGCCGAGCCGCGCGGCGGGAGTGCAAGGACGACGCGCGCGGGGCAGGGCGTGGCGCCGAGAGGGGACTGGCCGAACCGCAAGCGGCGAAACGCGGCGACGCCACGCGTCGCGCCTGGAGCTGGCGGACGAGCCGAAGGCTCGCGCCTGGATCTGGGCCCCCCGCCCAACCATCCGTTCGGGCCAGCGGCGAGCGCGCCGAGACACACCCTGATCGCACCGCCTCCGCTGTTCCCTTCAGGACAGCTTGATGTCCTTGGGCGTCGCGCGCTTCCCCATGCTGCGTCGTAGCATGGGGGCCCAAGATGGCACCAGGAGGTACCCCGAGGCACTGCGAGAACCAGGAAGCCCGAGGAAGCTCCAGAAGGCCCCAGGAAGCTCCAGAAGGCTCCAGAAGCCGCAGGAGGTCCAAGGGGGCCCCACGAGGCGTTGGGAAGCACCAGGAGGCACCAAAAGGCTGCCAAAAGCCACAGGAGGCCCCAGGAGCCTGCAAGAGACCACAGGACGCACCAGGAGGCACCAGGAGGCCTCGGAGAGCCCGAGGAGCTCCAGGAAGCCCCAGGAGGCCCCAGAGAATCTCAGGAAGCCCCCGAAAGCCCCAGCAGGCAGGGGCAGCCTGGGTCGGGCCGCAGTGGCCTGGCACGCTGCGTGCGCCGAGCCGGCGGCCCGCCCGCCAGGCACGGCGGCGGTCGGCCCGGCGGCAGGCCGGCGGCGACGGTCGGCGGCCGCGCCGCGCGCGCCGCCAGAGGCGCGGCCGGCGGCCGCGGGGAGCGGCAGGCCGGGCGGCAGCGCGACGGCGCCGGGCGCGGGGCGGCCGCCGCTGGCGGGGGACGCGGCGGGGGGCGGCGGCCGCGAGGCGCTGCCGCCGCCGCCACGCCGCCGGGGTCTCCGTGGCCCAGCCCGCCGGCGCGGCCGCCGGCCAGGGACCCAGGCTGCGCAAGCCACCTTGAGCCAGAGCGGCTTGAGCCAGAGGCTACGGATACACGTACCGATATGCATGCGCGTGTAACATGTACATGCACATGCTCATAAACTCTCCTGATTCATACACTGATGCATGAGCAGATACACGTATATCAACATATACCTGTGCACATGTGCACCTACATACATACATACATACATACATACATACATACCTACCTACCTACCTACCTACTTACCTACCTACATACCTACATACCTACATACCTACATACCTACATACTTACAGACCTACATACCTAAATATCTAGATATCTACATGCCTACATACATGCATACATACAGACATGCATGCATGCATGCATCCATACATACATACATGCATACATACGTATGTGTACATATATAGATATATGTACACACACGCATGCATGTATATATATATATATGTGTGTGATTGTATGCATGGGTGTATGCATGTGTGCATACATACATATCTATATATATGTGGATGTGTGGATGTGTATGCGACCATATGTATATACATATGTATATACATATGTATACGTGTACGTATTCATGCAAATGTGCATGTGCATGTACGTAGACACATACACATAAACATACATATACGTGTACATGTACATATACATATGCATGAAAATCCACATACACAAGTACATATACACTTACATATACATACACATATACACTCACATATACATATACCTACACAAACACACACAAACAAACAAATACATAGACCTGAATATTCCAATGTACACATGCATATATATATGCATGCATATATACACACTGGTACATATATACACACACATCCATATACAACCACCTACGCACATACAAATGTATGCATGTGCATATGCACATCCATACCTATACAACTGCATATACATACACATTCATGTATACATATGAATACACATATGCATACACATGTCCATTCACATATGTATATACAACCACAGAAACCCCATGTACATATACAGATACGCGAACATATACATATACATATACATACACATATACATACATAATGCATACATACATATACACATACCCATATACCTAAAAGTATCATGATGTATACATATACACTTACACGTATGCATGTGCATACGCATGCACCGATACGCATGATATACGCGTAAATATACGCAGGCACGTATAAGTAAACCCATATGCATATACAAGTACATATTTGTATATATACATATGTATATATCTACATGTGCATGTACAAATACATGTACATGCACATGTAGAGACAAAGATGCATGTACATATCCATATACGTGTCTGTGTGCATATGCATGTACATGTACATAGCTGTGAACATACATATATGTATATATATGTATGTGTGTGCGTACCGCTCATTCATAGCAATACATACTCACATATCTACACACTAACATATACAACTACATATGCAGTACAGATGCATATCCATATGCATATGCCTGTCCTTGTAAATACGCATATACATATACATGTACCTATACATACGCATATAAAGCGCCTTGAATTGGTCCCTCCCCTCCAACGTGTTTTTCCGCCCCGCCTTCCCGCGTTCGCTCCTGCCTTCCTTCCCTCTATCCTCCCGTTTCTGCCACCACTCCCTCCCTCCTTCCCATCTCTTCCTCACCCTTCCCTGTTCCTTCACTAGTTACAATCCTCATTCCGAGGTCTCGGGCACACCGATGGAATTCCTTCTCCTCATCCTCCTAGGTCTCTTCTTCTCCTCATCATCCTCGTAATCATCCTGATCATGATCATGATCAATGTCAAGATCATCACCACCGCGATCACCACAATCATCACCATCATCATCACAATGATCCTGACCCTCATCATCCGCAGCAGCAGCATCACCATCATCATCATCATCATCATCACCACAAGAATCACCATCACCATCATCGCCCGTCTCCTCCCAGTCCACAATGACATCCAAACGCCACACGCAGAAAACCGTTCCTCCTGACACTGAATATCTTCCTCGTCCTCCTCCACGTGAACCGTGTTCTCCTCTCCGATGTTGGCATCGAGTGGAGGGACTGGTCCGCCAGGTCAACCAGGACGTTGTGTTTGGCAGCGAGGTTCTCCAGATGCCTCTGTTCACCGCGGAAGCAATTCCACACGAAGGGGCGGCGTGGTTAGGGCGAGAAAGACGAACCAGAGAATGACGGCAACGGGTCCGAAGGACCCTGGAAGAATAAGGAAGACGAGACATGCAAAAAGAACGAAGATCTGAATGGGAAGAAAAGAACGGTGCCAAAAACGACCAGTCCGTGAGCGTACGAGGCGCCAGGTCACTGAACAAAGCCCCAAGGAGCGGCCCCGACACACGAATCTGCACTCGCGTCAGTCTCACGCTGCCGCCCCCGCACCCTCGTCCATCCATCCCTCATCCGCCCGTCTCCCCGTACCCTCTCCCCCGAATGCCAGCTGATGCACGTTGAAAAGACTGGCTAACCGCAACGCACAAGTTGATTCCTCGACAGGGCAAGCTCTCAGGCACAGTAGAGCACGAAAGAACCGCGGCCGCGGCCATTACGAACGCCGATATCTACGGAGGGGGCTGGCGGACACGCGACAGGCGCTCGCTGATGCACCGACGAACACTTCGACGGCAGACCAGCCGTCAAAATGCGTGAATCTACAAGCAGCATGCGCGCATCGCCCCAGCGCTCCCAGACGTTCCCAGACGCTTCAAAACGCCCCTCTGGCGCTCCCAAGCGCTCCAGAAACGCCCACACGCCCTCAAGCAGTGCCAGGCGCCCCCGAGGCGGTCCCGGGCACCCCCAGGCGCCCCCGGACGCCTGAAATGTTCCCGGGCCCTTGCAGGCCCGCCAGGAATGTCAACGTGTTCATCGTCGGTCCCAGGCGTTCCTCGGGCGGCTCAAGGCGCGCACAGGCGTTCCCAGGGGCCCCAAGGCGTTCGAGCGTTCCCAGGCGCCCCCGGGCGCTCCGAGAACGCACAAGCGCCTCCAGGCAACCCCAAGTGTTCCCCAGGCAGGTCCAGGCGCACCCAGGCGCCCCCAGACGCCTCCACACGCTCGCGGGCGTCCCTGAGCACTCCCTGACGCTCCAGGAACGCCCCCAAGCGTGTCCAGATGCTCCCAAACGCCCCCTGGCGCCCCCCAGCGCTCTTAGATGCTCCAGGAGCGCCCAGACGCCCCCGATCGCCCCCAGCCGCTCCGCAAGCGTCCCAAACGCTCCCAAACGTTCTCAAGGGTCCCAAGAACCTCCAGGAGACCCCAGGAGGCCCCAATGGATGGTTCCAGAAAGCCCTGTGGTAGCCACAAGAGCCCCCAGGAAGTCACAGGAAGCTCCAAGGAGACCCGAGTCGACGCGTCTTGGCTGGCCCCGAGAAACTCGCATACCCCCACACTCCCCCGCGCGGCTGTCGCGTGGCGACACGCCCGCATGTTTGCCGCGCATCCGCAGAAACATTCGCGCGCACGCGCACGTGTCCAGCCGCGCAACGACGCGCCATCAGTCTCGCGAATCGAAACCACGGCGCCAAAATGTCAGCCCGCCGCTGCGCCGCGCGAGCCTTCCCCCGCGCGCTCGAGCGCTGCCAGCTCGCGCGAGAAAGCTGCATGGCGACGCGCGCCGACCCACGCGCGTGAACTTACGTACCAGGACCATCGCCGAAACGGTGCGCGAGTGCTCTCCTGCGCGCGCGAGCGCTACCCAGTCGCGCGAGGAAGCTGCCTAGCGCCGCGCGCCGACCCCCACGAAAAAATCGTGTTGAGACCGCTGGCGACGCGACGCGCATGTCCTCGTCCGCGCGCTCGAGCGCTGCTCGGTCGCGCGGTGTCTGCATGGCGCTGCGCGGTGACCCCAGCGCGAGAATCTGCGTTCCGAGATGCTCGCCGATGTTACGCGGGAGTTCAGCCATGCGCGCGCGAGGGCCACACAATCGCGCGAGGAGGCTGTTTGGCGCAGCGCCACGACCCCCGCGCGAAAATCGCACGCCGAGACCGCCGCCGCTGCGACGCGCTAGTCCGCTGCTGAGGAATCCTGACGCGGCCTGAGGATTCCCGAGGAAGCCGCTCAATTTCCAACCATCCTGTGGTGCGGGGTCCCCGTTTTGAAGAGACAGGGCCCCGCATAACTCACTCTTTCTTTCCGCCCCTTTCTCCATCCTCCCATCCTTGCCCCTGTTATCCGCATGCCTCTGTTTCGGCACACACCCATCACACGACTCGTGGCCGCATCGGGAGCTCCACCGAAGGCCCAAATGCCAGCGTTCGCACGCGCCCACCGCACCCCTTGTCGGCACACCCCTCACACGCTCCGTGGCCCCATAAGGAGCCCCACCGACGGCCCCAAGCGCTCGCATGCCCCAACCGCGCCAATGTTGGCACACCCGTTTCACGGTTTGTGGCTCCATGAGGGGCTCCACCGACGGCCCCAACAGCTGCGTTCGCACGCGCCCGCCGCACTGGCACACCCATCACACGCTTCCCCCAGCGGTTGCGTTCGCACGCGCCCGCCGCACCAGCTTTGGCACACCCTTCAGACGTGTCGTGGCCCGCCAGGGAACTTCACCGACTGCCTCAGCTGCTGCGTTCGCACCGCGCCCATTTTGGCACACCCCTCGTACGCCTCGTGGCTCCATACGGAGCCCCAGTGACGGCCCCAGTGGCTGCGTTCGCACGCGCCCACCGCACCCATGTTGGCACATTCCTCACACGCTTCGTGGCCCCGCCCACCGCACCCATGTTGGCACATTCCTCACACGCTTCGTGGCCCCAGAGGAAGCTCCACCGACGGCCCCAATGATTGCGGGCCACCGCATCAATTTTGGCACACCCCTCACAGGCTTCGTGGCCCCATAGGAAGCTCCACCGACGGCCGCAGTGGCTGCGCCCGCACGCACCCACCCCGCCCATTTTGGCACACCTCGCACACGTTTCGTGGCCCCATAGAAAGCTCCATCGACGGCCCCAGTGGTTGCGTTCGAATGCGCCAAGCGCGCCCATTTCTGCACACGACTCTCACGATTCGCGTTCCTATAGGGAGCTCCTCCGAACGCGGCGCAGACAACGAGGCCAATTGTTCATGCACACACACCCACCCACCCACCCCCCGCGCAGTGGTCGCGTTGCGATACGCCCGCTTGTGCGGCGTCGTTCGGCGTTCGTCGCTCGTCGCCCGTAATTCGCCGTCGGTCACCAGTCGTCGACAGTCGTCATCCTGGTCACCAATCGTTGTTCGTTGTTCGTCGTTCGCTGCTCGTCGTCGTCATATTCGTCGTCGTCGTCGTTCGTCGGTCGTCGTTTTTTCTCCCATTCCCCCATCTGCCCCCCCTCCTCCCCCTGCTCCCCCTCCTCCTCCTCCTCCTCCTCCTCCTCCTCCTCCTCCTCCTCCTCCTACTCCTTCTCTTCCTCTTCCTCCTCCTCCTCCTCCTCCTCCTCCTCTTCCTCCTCCTCCTCCTCCTCCTCCTCCTGTTCCCCCTCCTCCTCCTCGTCCATCTCCTCCTCATCCTCATCCTCCTCCTCATCCTCCTTCCCCCCTCCTCCTCCTCCTCCTCCTCCTCCTCGCATCCTCATCCGCACTCCTCCTCCTCCTCCTCCTCCTCCTCCTCCTCCTCCTCCTCCTCCTCCTCCTCCTCCTCCTCCTCCTCCTCCTCCTCCTCCTCCTTCCCCTCCTTCTCCTCCTTCTCCTCCTCATCATCCTTCTGCGTCCCTCCTCCTCCTCTTCCTCCTCCTCCTCGTCCTCCTCCACCTCCTCCGCCTCATCCTCCTCCGCCCTCCTCGTCCTTCTCCATCCCTCCTCCCTCCTCCCTCCTCATAAGGCTCGGGCCCAGGTGGAGACATCTCCCACTGGAGGGCTAGGGGCCCATGCGCGCCGCCCCGACCGCCCCCTTCTCCTGGGACAGCCGCGCGCCGCGAGATGCTTCCGGCCAGCGCCATGGCGAGTGGCCGAGGCCGCCCCTGCGCGCCGCCGTGCGCAGGCTCGGCTTCGCGGCCCGAGTCGGCCGCCGACCTTGCATGCGCGACGTGGCTAGCCGCTAGCCTTGCTCGCGCAGTCGCTGCTGCCGATGCCCAAGTTCGTTCTCGTGCTCGGCTTGAAATTCAAAGGACGTCCAGATCGATGACACGCCACCGATTGTGGACCTGGTTGCTGCGGCCGCTGGCGTGGCCCCTGGCGCCCCCTGCCCTGCTGTACCCAGGACGGCGCCCTGCGCCCTGCCGCGTTCCTCGGCGAGCGTTTCGCGCCCGCTGCCGCAACTACCAGTGTTGCCTCCACCACATGCACGGGATGCTCCGGACTGTCGCAGCTTTGTCTGCTGCCGCCACCCGAACATGACGCTCGAGAGGATGAGCGCGTTCTGCCTCGTACCGGACCGCCTGCGCGTCCCGATGGCGCTGCGTCTCCGGAGGCTCTGGAACGCGTTGCCTCGCCACTGGCGCTGGCGGAGGCGGTGGCTGCCCCGCCCTCGGCGCTGGCTGCGGCCCCGTTGCTGGTGGTGGCGTTGGCCAAAGTCTTGCGCGGCCGAGGGCCTGTTCCCGTGGCTCGCCTTCCCGATGAGTTCGCGGACATGTGGCGGATTCGCCTCGACTCGACTCCCTCACGCAGGATGAGGGCGAGACGGATGTTGCAGCCTTCCTAGACAGGTGGACCCAATTCAAGGTACACAAGGACAACGACGGGACCTACATGGCGCAGCTAGCACATCCCAGCGAGCCAGCCCTGCCGCATGCAGCGGCCCTGGCCGACCCGCCGGGGGCTGCGGGCCCGCTGGACGCGCGGGAGCTTGCTGCTGCTGCTGGCGCTCCGAAGTTTGCAGAGCGCAGGGACGGACTGCAGCTATCTCGAGGAGCCGGTGCTGGAGCCGCCGCACGTCCACAGGCCACCGGCATCGAGGCCATCGACGGCACTGAGGGCATCGTTGCCGCGTCCGGTGTCCCTCGCCCTGCTGCTCCCCGTGCTCTTCGACGCGACGCTGCGAGTGTGCCGCTGCCGAAGGGGTGGAAATGGGCGTGGTCAGGAGACATACGTGATCCCCCCGTTGCCGGTTCAGCCTTGGACCAAGTGGCCCGGAGGGTGGATGACCTCATCTTCCAGATGCACGTGCACAGGTGGGTGCGGCCCGGGCCGCTGCCTGAGCCGCCGCCCGCTAAGCAGTCACCAGTTGACATTGACAAGATTCTTGCCCAGCGCATCGTTGCGAGTACCCTCCCTCGGAGATGAAGTCCTCCCTCCTCGGCTTAGCGCGCAAATAATCGCGTCGTCTTTTCCGCCGCCGTCTCATCGTGCGTGCCGTGTTGGGGGCCGAAGATTGATTTCCTTCCCTTCTCAGGAAGCGCACGACTTGTCTCCTGTCGTCGTCTGTCTGCAGCGTTGTTGATCGTCGTCGTCTGTGATTCGCACGTCGTTCCCTCACGGCGCCGGGGGGACCGGCCTTCTTGTGCAGAACTGGCCGCTCCCGTGCCTTGTCAGCGCGGCACTCCCCACTCCAGCGAGCCGTGCAATTGAGCTGCCTGCCGCGACGGTGACGCTGACCAGCCACAGCGCAGGTGCCTGCCGCGAAAGTGCCTGCCTCGAAGGTGTTTCGATGTCGTTATGTGAAGGAGGGATGGATGAGGAGGAGGGCCGGCGAGCGAGAGCGGCGATGGTGTGTCTGCAGTTTCGCTCCCATGCCGTCTTGTCTTTTTCGAGGGCTTAGTGCCCAGGTCTGCGTCCCAGCCTTCCCCTCTCCTCCTCGTCTTATTCCTCCCTCCGTCCCTCTCCACCCCTCCACCACAGTGCCCAGGCCGTAGCAGCAAACTCCTCTAGCGTTTGCCAGCCAGGCTGCCTATTGTTGAGGGCGTGGGTTCAACGTGGATCGTGAAGGGAATGCCGTGCGTAGGTGCGAAGGTCAATATTCCTCCTCTGCCGCCGGCCACTTTGATGCCCACCTGTCTTGGCATAGAGTTTCCGCGTGGTGTTCCCAGTTGCGGCTCCGCCGTGCCTCATAGATGCCAAGCTGAGTCGTTGCCACTCCCCCGCGACTTCGAGTAGGGAACGTGGTCTGCGTCCCAGCCTTCCTCCCTCTCGCTTGGCTTTGCTCTACTTATAAAAATGTTTCCCTCCCTCCCTCCGTCCTTCTTCCCGAGTGCCCTGGGCGGGCACAGCGAGTCATCTGTCGCCGCCTTTAGCGTTTGCCGTCCAGTTGCCTATTATAGGGGGGGGCAGTGAGGATCGGAGAGGGCCTGGACTCCTTGCTTCGGTCCGACGCGTTCCGTCCGCTCTGTCGCGGGGGTCCCATCGTACTGTACTGTACTTGCGTACTTGGTGCCCGTGCAGATGTTTCAGCTTTTTCGTTCAGCCAGCTTGCCTGCCTGCTCTTTAAAGCCATCTGCTAGCTGAGGGTGAGTTTAGGTATGTTGGTGGGGACGAGGGTTGCACTGCAGCGTTAGTGCAGGCACGGGCCGCAGGTCGAGCGTGCGAATATCGTGCAATCCCGCAGGCCCCTGCCTTCCGCCAGCCCATTAAGCTGGCGTTCGGCCCTTCGCAGGAAATTTCACCTGCTCCCCTCTTGGATATGCCTCCTCTTGCCTCCTCCCTCCTCCTGCGGAGTTGTGATGCGCCCTGAGCGCCTTCAGACGATGAGGGGGGGGTGGTAGGATAGGACGGGGGCGGGGAGATTCACCAAACCTTGGCGCCCGTGATGCATGTACGCACTGTTGCAGCAGCTAGTGAGTGCCGCACTAAGCTGACCGACTCCTCGGCGAATCAGAGCGCAATCCAAAAATCCTCCTCACCCTCCCCCCCGCCACTCCCCAGGGTTGGAGGCACCCTGCCCCGCAGCCCGCGCCCCTCGCGCTCACAAAGCGTAGCATGGGGCGCGCGCCTGGCCGCGCCTAGCGCGTCCGAGCGCAGGCGCAGCTCCAGGAGCCACCTCGGGCGGCGGGGTCGCAAGGCAACCACGCGCACGGCCCACCAGGCCGCGGGCGCGGTAGGATACCCAGACCTCCTCGCGTTGTGAATAAATCGCGACGGGCGGTTTCTCGCCATTTTTGGCCTCCGGGGGCCCGTACCGGGCCTCGGGACCGTCAAAAACGACTCGGGACGAAAAACCGGTCCTGGGGAGGGGGTCCAGACCTCTCCTGCTTGCCTCCAGGGTGCCCTTGGCTTCTTGTGTGTCGATGGTCTTGCGGTGGAAAGCGTGACGTTCCCGCGCCAGAAACCAATAGACGTCCTGGGGCCTCAGGGTTGGGGTTCTTATGGAAGGTTTCTCGTGGTCGGGCCCCTACTGTACTTGTCCTCCTGATACACTGCATATCCTCATCGCACCACCTGACGCTTCTGTGGGGCGGGCCTGGGGGTTCACCCGAGACATCCCCACCGCTTAAGAGAATGAAGCTCGAAACTTCCAACCGCTACATTGACAGAGGGTAGGTCCTTTTGAAGCGTGGCTTTCGATTCAGCGCCGCGTACGTTCGTCTGAAAAGGCCCTATCAGATGCAAGAATGGAGGGCGAATGACTTCCAACATGTGGCTCTCGCTTTAGCGCCGCGTGCATTCATCTTGAAAACTTCGAGCTGATACAACGACGAAGGACGGCTCAAGTTCAACATGGGGCTATCGCTTGAGATTTCCTGATCCAGGAGTTTACTACTGCGCAACAGCCAAACGGATGCAGTCAACATTATTTCTAGAAAGGGAGGTCTCGCTTGAGATTTCTGCATCAAGTACGCCCAGGCCTACCAATGTGCACACCATATCCACGGTTTGAGGGCAGCTCCTTGCCAATCCGAGTTAAACGTCTGAGACTTTTTTATAGATCATCTCCAGATCTGTAAAACCATGTAACGAATACACGATGGAGAGCGGTTTCTTCTCAAAACGGTGGCCTGTATCATAATTACATGCACGTGCAGATCATGCCTCTTCGAATTCTGTATAGCTAGAGGGATGTACGGCAGTTCCTTTGTTGACTGTGCCCTCGCCTAGAGGACAAGTCAGTACGGCGGTCGTCTTTCAAGGGGGCGCTTCCCGAAATGAAATATGACAGGCTGCAGAGCCTTTTGAAGGAACTGAGAACGGAAGGGTGTCTTGCAGTACCGTTGATGCATCCTGGGCTTGCTCCCGTCATCGACCTCATGCTCATCCTGGTGCTGCTGCTGCTCCTCCTCCCTCCTCCTCCTCCTCCTCCTCCTCCTCCTCCCTCCTCCTCCTCCTCCTCCTCCTCCTCCTCCTCCTCCTCCTCCTCATCCTCCTCCTCCTCCTGTCAGATCCTCTGCCGCTGTCCACTGTCTCTTCATAAACCTCCTCCTACGCTCTCCTCCTCCTCCTCCTCCTCCTTCTCCTCAGTAGCAGCAGCATCAGCATCAGAAGCAGCATCAGGATCGTCGTCATCATCGTCGTCGTCATCATCATCATCATCATCATCATCATCATCATCGCCAGCATCATCATCATCATCAGCAGCAGCATCATCAGCATCATCATCCTCATCATCGTCATCATCATCATCATCATCATCATCATAATCATCGTCATCATCATGATCATCGTCATCATCATCAGTATTAACCAGAACAACAACAACATCATCATCAGCAGCATCAGCATCAGCATCAGCATCAGCAGCATCATCACCATCAGCATGATCATGATCATCAGCATCATCATCATCATCATCATCATCAGCATCATCATCATCGTCATCATCGCCACCACCACCACCACCACCATCATCATCATCATCATCATCATCATCATCATCGTCGTCATCATCACCACCAGCACCACCACCATGATCATCATCAGCATCATCATGATCAGCATGACCATCAGCATCATCGTCACCATCATCGTCATCATCAATATCAGCATAGTCATCATCATCAGCATCATCATCAGCAGCATCACCATAATCACCATAAGCATCAGCATCATCGCCATTACCATCAGCATCATCATTATCAGTATCGTCATCATCATCGTCATCATCATCGTCACCATCCTCAGCATCATCATCATCAGCATCAGCATCAGCAGTATCATCAACGTCATCATCATCAACATCATCATCATCGTCATCATCACCACCACCACTACCACCACCACCACCGCCACCACCATCATCATCATCATGATCAGCATCACTGTCATCATCAGCAGTTTCACCATCATCAGCAGCATCATCATCAGCATCATACGCATCAGCATCATCGTCATCATCAGCATCATCATGTTCTTCATCATCATCATATCACCAGCATCATTATCAGCTCCAGCATCAGCAGCATCATCAGCCTCATCATCATCATCAGCATCAGCATCATC